TAAAAATTTAGGATTTAGAATTTCCTTTATCCATTTTCTGGCAGTGAATTGATTTGGATTCAATGATAAAAAATAATCGCTCTTTTTTAGAATTTCAGAAACAGTAGATTTACTGACATTATATTTAGATGCAAGCTGGTTATTTTTTATGTTTGGTCTTTATTTTTGTCAATGCATATTTATATTTTTGTGAGATTGTTATAGGCGTATGTTTTCTTTTTGATACCCCAACTCCTTCAGTAGTTTTTTTTTCCTCTTGTTTGCACTAGAGGAAAGTCTACCCTGGTTATTAATTTTTGTACATGTTGTGTGTGAAAATGAAATTTGTGAATTTGCACATATTCAAATTAGCCAATCAGAATTTCATATCCAAACACTCCACCCCAAAATTTTAATTATAGATTTCAATTTCACATACAACATACATATGTATTGTATAACTTGTATATTATTATTATTGGTCCAATTTTTATTTCACTTCAGTTTATAAAAATTAATCTTTGGTTCATACATCAGGAAAATGGGTACAAATATTATGCGTATATAATACACAATTGCAGGGATTAAGCACATAATATATGTACAAATCATGTATTTTTTTATGTATGCAAATTGTACATATATTATATGCTTAATCTCTGCAATTGCGTATTATATACACATAATATTTGTACCCATTTTCCTGATGAAGGCTAAGATAACATAATAATAATGTGAGATTGTAAACTGTGGATGAACCAATTGCCCAGTTAATATTGACCAATTAGAACTATACATGAAGTTGAAATTAAAACCCCAAAGTCGAAATGTTTTGACTTGAGGCAACTACATAGTAAAAATCAGTTTCGACCTTATTTTGACCCTATTTCGACCAGATCTGCAAATGGTCAAAATAGTTTCGACTTCATGTATAATTAGAACAAACTTAGAATGATAGTCATGTGATGCACTAAATATTACATCACAATCAACAATCATCTTTCTATATTTATTGTAGCAGTTGCTGCATGTTGTGTAATGTTATACTGTAGCTTTAGTAATCAGTAGTTAGTGAGCAAGTAGTACAGATATTAGTATTAATAAGCATATTTTATTGGACAAAATATTGTAAAAGTCATGTTATCTGTAATACCTCAAAAGGTATAAAAATGCTTGGTTTAGACCAAGCCAGAATCATTATGTTCATGATACAATAAAATAAAATTCATAGGGATGCCTCAAGCGGTATAGTTGTAAATATTTCTTGTATATATTCTTATTTTATTTTACTATCTTAAGTCTGGTACATAGCAATCATACAACCCTTTTTGTGAAGGGTTATGCTGTCACAGCCAAGACAAGCTTCTTTATCTCCTGAACTTTCACAAGAATAATTAGGTGTATTATCTTTTCTTCAGGTAAAGTATTGATCTTGCTTGCCTTTTTTAATTTCTTGGTCATAATTAGCACACTAAGAACAAACATGGTGTTTACTGTCTTTGTAAACACTAATGATTCAATGAAGATAGATTTTACATTGGGGACAAACAGTATTAATTCTGTCTCATTTTCATTGCCCATGCTCATTTAGTTTCTTTTTTCTTCAAGGCCAATCAAAATTTTCTTTATTTTTAATCTTTGCTAAAGTTTCTTTGAAATCTTTTTTTAATTCCTTTCTCAATTGGCTGTCTTGTTGTTTAATTCTTGCTGAATCAGACTTTGAGAACAATTTCAACAACAGAATTTAATGATTTCTCTATTTTCTTCATATCATCAATTAACAGTTAAACCTTCTTTTGTATGGTGACAATTAAAACTTTTTTTTTTTTGGTCATGATTTTTTTGTTTAAACTATGTATTTAAAAGGGTTTTACAAAAAAAAAATCAGGGCTCAATCACAAAAAAAAAGAAAAGTTATAATTGGAATGGAACATTATAATTGGTATTGATTTTAAAAATTTAATTGAAAAAATAAAAATAAAGTGGACAATAACCTTGCATTAGATTTTTTTGTTTTGTAATTATGCATCTTCATGCTTGCTTCTTTTTCTAATATTTATTCTTTCTTCTTGTAGATCTCATAAGTAATCTTTCTTTTTTTTTAGGTAAGTTTCCAGTTTATTTATTTTGAAAATGTAAGGAGCAATTTTTTCACCTTGTTCTTTCTTCAAAATACTTCTAATTGTCTATAATTTTTGGGTTCCATGGTAGACCTAATATAAATTAACTTCATATTAACTATTTTTATATAGAGGTAATCTATATCACTTAATATTAAGAATAAATCAAAGATAACAAATGAGAGATTTTAATAATCACATTACTAAATTTTGATCCTGTGAAATTCTCGGTAATACCAATGTTCACTTTTGTCTGGTTTTGTTGCAGTATGCCCCAATTAAGATTAAACTTATCATTATATCATCATTGTAATATGAAATAATGCATTAGCTGAATAAGACATAACCTTAAAAGAATGTCTTTCCTGTTGAATGATTTTAAAAGAGTTGTTACACAACCACAAAAGGATACGGGGCATGCTGCAACAAAACCAGACAAAGTGAACATTGGTATTACCAAGAATTTCAGGGATCAGTATTGTTTTTAACATCACAATTGTGTTACAATATAATGTGATCATGATATTTGTCTAGACAAAAATAGTTAATATGAAGCTAATTTACATTAGGTCTACAATGGAACCCAAAAATTACAGCACCATTAGAAGTATTTTGAAGAAAGAACAAGGTGAAAAAATTGCACCTTATATTTTAAAAATAAATGATACTCAAACACTGGAAACTTATCTAAAAAAAGAAAAGATTACTTATGAAGTTTACCAAGAAGAAAGAGTTTTCAAAAGAGTATTAGAGAATTCTAGTAAAGAATCAAGAAAAAAAAAGAAAACTGGCAGAATAACAAATAATTACTTTTTTTCAACTTTGTTACTTTTTTAATTACCTTTTATTTTCAATCAAGGTCATTTTTTAGTTTCTTTAAC